AAAAAAAGAGAGAGAGAGACAGGGCTAGGCCTACCAGTGGCATGGTGGTTAAGGCAGCTGGAATTCACATGGCCAACGGTTTGAGTCCGGGGCCCAGAGGTTTGACAAACACTCTGTTACTGCAACACTGTCTTCAGAAGGGCAGAGGCAGGCTAGTATCACCAGCCCAGCACAGGCTGGGGTAGCTCCCCAGTCTCCACGGACATTTGGCATTATCTGGCTTGCTACTGTTTGTCAGTCTAATTGGTTTGAGCGAGAGCGCACTGACACGCTCACGTGTGTTTCTCTGACCACCTCTTATGCTCGCAGGCTTGCAGGGGTGGCTGGTCCGTAGTCGCTGGACTCAAGTCCTTGGGGTCTGACTTTCTGCGGCTGGGGCCTCCGGGTCAAGATGCCTCAGTCGGGAGGATTGGGGACGCCTGTCAGATGCCCTGTGCTCATCTCCAGAGCCCAGGAGCCTGGGAGCCTTCTCCCCACCCTCGAGGGCAGAGGCACCCAGGGGGCACCTGCGGAGGGCAGTGTGGCCCTGACCCGCCGGACTAGGGTCTGAAAGACGCCGTGTGGTGGGCAACGGAAGGAGCAGGAAGAGGGACTTGCAGCGTGCTCCCGGACGCTGGAGATAGCGGCGGGCACTCCCAGCAGGTGCGGGTGAGGGGTCTAGAGGAGCACCCCCCCCTCCTCCGGCTCCCGGGCCCCGCCCCGGCGGACGCGCGCCCCGCGCCGGCAGCGAGTCTGCGGCGCCAGGCGCCAGGCGCCCGGGGTCGGGCGGGGAATCCGGGGCCGGGGCTGGGGCCGGGCGTGGCGGAGAGGACCCTGGCTTTGCGCGAGGGCGGCGAGGTTGCGCGGCGCTCGTAGCCATCTCGGTCTTCGGGGTCTTGGGGCCCCGAGCAGAACGCGTGCCGGGCCGGGCCGAGGGGACATGGGTCACGCATTTGGGACTGGGGGGGTCACCCACGCAGCTAACGGGGCGCTGAGTCTGAATAGACATTGGCAACAAATAGCCACGGTAACAGCGGGCCTCCATCGCGCGCGTACTGTGCGCACCAGGCCTGGGTCATATCTTCTCAGCTGCAGGGGTAGGACCTGTTGTTACCCCATTTCGCAGATGAAGACGCTGAGGGACGGGTGGTTAAAAAGGCTGCGCCAGGTTGCACAACCACAAAGTGGTAGGCATGCTGAAGGCCCGGCTCCCCCAGAACGTTGGGGCTCAGTGAATCGGAGGGTGGACAGTATCAGGCAGGGAAACCGAAGCCCAGAGGAGCAGAGCTGTGGCGGGTGCAGGCGTGGCGAGGGCATCTCGAGCCCTCCCTGTCAGAGTGTACCCAGGGTCAGGGGCCCTAGGCTGGCAGCCGCCATCTCTGCAGGCCTGGGAAGGGGGCAGAGGGTTGTGTCCCCACTGTGAGCCCTCCCTCCCGCAACCCTGGCTGAGTCCTGACTGGTGAACCCAGAGGCTGCTCTCAGACCACACCGTGCAGCTCACCGCGTACCTTCCAGACCGACTGTGTCCAAAATACTGCATGTGTGTCCTCTCTGGAAGGATGGTGTTGGGGTGGGGGTCCATCAAGGTGCTATTTCCAAGCAGGCACAGGGGTGGAGGATCACTTGAGCAGGCCTGAAATGAGCAGTGGCTGGAAAGAAGGCACATGGGACTGGGCGGACAGGAGAGAGGCCACGGGACTTGGTTTCATTCTAGCTGGACCTCTGGCCTGGCTCTGGGCACCCCACTGGCTCCCCTTGGGCTCCTGGGTGTTGGCCAGCACAACCCAGGCCACACCCCTGAGGCCTTGGCTATCACGGGGTGTCAGAGCTGAAGGGACCGTATAGATCCCTCTCTTCATCTTCCCTGATTTCACACCTGTAGAAACTGAGACGCCTTCCCTGCTACCGGGGACACGACTAGTCCAGATGCTGCTGCTGGAAGTGGCTGGGCAGGGACGAGAACCCATGCCTCTGTAAGCTCATACCTGAGGTGGCAGCTTTGTCCCAACCAGGGTTGGGGGTGTGTGTCTCAGCACAGAGAAGGAAAGAGAAGTCGGCGGTGCTTTGGATCTGAAAGGGGCCCTTCTAGAGCCTGCCATGTTGTCTGGATGATCACTGCAGGGAGGGCACGCCCCTCCGGGACAGGGGAAGGTGCCTTACCCTGGGAAGGTGGCATTCTCCTGGACAGTCTCCTCCCCTGAAGTATCCACACGAAGTGTCTTCCCCGCCAAAGCCTCTCCTTCCATTTCCCTGAGCGCCTCAGGTTTTGGCTTTTCAGGGAACTCGTGAAACTTACCTGGGACAGTGTTTTATAGTTCCAAGTCACCCAAAGAGAGTTCATGAGTCCCAGGTCACTGGATCATTGAACGCACACACGCCAGTGTCTGACTCTGAGGATACAGCAGTTAAGAAATCGGACGGGGACCAGTCAGTGGCGTAGCGGTTAAGGTGGCTGGATCCTATGTGGCCCACTGTGCATTTCAAGTCCCAGACCCTGCAGCTTGAAAAACCTGCTAGGTGCGTGTGCCTGCGTACCCCAAATTCCAATAGGGGAGAAGAGATTGCAGTGTGACCGTTCCTCATGAGAGGTGCTTTCTTCCTCTTCCCGTCTCTTTTTCTGTTTCTGGCGAGTGTACACACCCTCTGGCAAATTTAAATAAATAAATTAGAAACTAGACAAGGCATAGTGGTTAAGACGCTGGACTCCAACATGGCCTACTGTGGTTTAAATCCTCCATCTGGTGGCTTGAAAATCACACCGGGCTTGTGTGTGTGCCCCAAATCCTAGGAGGAGAATGGAGGAGAAGGGATTATGGCATGGCCATCCCCGCTGGGGGGTGATTTCTCACTTTCCCTTTCTCTCGCTCTCTCTGGAGAGCACATGCACCCTAAAGCAAAAACAATGAATGAATGAATGAATGAATGAATGAATGAAACCATACAAATATTCTTCCCCTCTGGGGCACCTAATAAGTATGTAAGTATTTCGTATGCCATTGCACACAGAGAAACAATGTCGGGAGGTGGGTAGGAGTGCATTTCCTAGGTGGGGATTTCACTGGCAGGGCCCTGACTAAGGAAGCGTCACCTTCTCAGGCCTTTGGTTGCCAGAATTTATTCTCTGACCTTTTGCCGTGGAGGGATAATATTATGGTGGCAGTGGCGGTGGTGTGTGGACACTTTTCATATCTTCTTTTTTTTTTTTCGAGTTTTTCAGTAGGACCTGTACACTTGCCAGAGAAACACACAGACAAACACACACACACACACACACACACACACACACACACGGGAGTGGGGGAGTGAGAAATCACCGCCCCAGAGGATGGCTGTGTGGCCATCCCTTCTCTCCATTTTTTTCCTCAGGATTTTAGGCACACGTGCACACATTCCCAGTGTGTTTTTCAAGTCTTCAGGTCTGGGATTTGAACTATACAATTGACCATGTTGGATCCAGCCACCCTAAACTCCATGTCATCCATTGGCCCAAGGGCTTTTCATATCTTATTTCAATTTTTTTTTTTTAAGTTTTTTTCCATCAAGTGCGTGTGCTTGCCAGAGAGAGCAGAGAGAAAGTGAGAAATCACTCCCTGATGGGATAGCCACTCTGCCGCACTGTCACGCTGCAATCCCTTCTCCTCCATTCTCTTCCTGGGATTTTTGGCATGCATGCACACATGCCTGGTGTGATTCTCAAGCCTCCAGATCTGAAGCTTGAACTGTGGTTGGCCATGTGGGACTCAAGTGCCTTACCCACTTCACCAGCTGCTGGCCCTCCCGTCTTATTTCTAATCATGAAAACCCTGCAGGGCAGCTCACATCTCCCTTTTTTCAGAGGAGGAAACTGAGGCGTGGGATAAGAAAGTATTCTAAGTCACACAGCCAGGAAGTGGCTCATCTGGAGTTGACCCCACACAAGGCCATGTGACTGCCCTGGGCAGCAGCTCTGAGCTCCACTGGTTGTATCCATGAGGCTCCAGAAAACCCAAGACCCTCTTCTACATTTGGAAGGCTGTGTGGAACTTATCTGGAAAACTGAGCTGCCGGGAGGGCCTGTCTCTCACCCCAGTGCATTCTAACTGTCCCTGCCAAGACACTGGCCACATGTCCCTGGATACACAGAGGGGCCCAGCCCAGACATCCGCACTGGGCCAGACAGGTGGGATGTGGGCTTGGCAGCAATGAAACTACCAGACCGTGTGCCGCGTAATGACGGCGTGAAGGGCCAGAAGTACGCGTGCTCTGTGCCAGCGTGTCTGAGCGCTTCTGGAGGTGGTCAGGCACCCGTGAGCCTGGGAGTTGTTAGCGTCACTCCTGGAGCAGCATCTGTGCACCCTCCCAGTGCCCAGCTCTGGGCCTGCTGTGAGCTGTGGGTGGGTCAGGAAGGGCGGGTGTGGGCAAGGCTCCCAAGAGGCTACGGTCTAGCCAGGGAGGCCAGACATCCTCACAGCCAGGTGCAGCGAGGGTGACACAGACGTGGGGTCCTCCTGGCTCCGATACTAACCACACTGTGATCCTGAGCCCACCACTGCCTGTGACAAGCCTTTGGTCAGGGGACTCTGAGGTCCTTCTAGTCCGAGACTCTGAGTAAGGGGTGCAGCAGTGAGGGAGCAGGGCAGAGAGACCTCAGACGGTGCAGGTCAGTGGCCTCCCAACGGGGAGGTGGGAACTAGTTTGGATTCGGGGGTGAGGAGAGGGGAGGTGGAGGAACAGCAGATGGAAGGCATGGAAATGGGGTGCATGCACCTCTGGCCTCCCACCTTCTGAATGCTAACTGGAGCCCTGTGAAGCCCGAGACTGACTCCACTGGAGAGACATCCACTCCTTCCTCGGAGCAGCTCCTGGGGTGGGGATGTGCACGCTACGTGGTGGGGGCTTCGGAGCGGGGTGAGAGGTATACTTGGGCTGCTGCAGAGGGGCTTGTTCATGCTCTCTCATCTTCAGGGCATGAGGACGTGGGGCGAGTTAATTGGGAGAAGCAGCCTGTGTGGGAGGTCTCTGACCTGGGAGGGTGGGGAGCCATGACCCCCTATCCCCCTCCCCCCGTTCCTAGCAGGAAGACCCCAGCCACAGAAGGTTCAGGGCCGGGGAGGGCCTGGTCACCTCTCCTCTGAGCAGTGACCTCACTAGGCAGCATGGGGGGCCCTCCTCATCCTGCACCCCTCTCTCTCCCTGCAGTGCTTCCTCTGGAAAGGCAGCTCCACCAGGCCGCCCGCAGGAACAGCACAGGGAGGATGAAGGAGCTGATTGAGAGGAAGGTCAACGTCAGGGCCAGGAACCACGTGCGTACCGGGCCCTCCAAGTCCAGGGCACTTGGGATGATGCCAGGGTGGGGCCGCCACTCACTGCATGGAGCTGGAGGCGGTGCAGACGCTGCCGTTAACCTGCTGAGGAGAGCTGGTCTGGAGGCCCCTGAGGCTTAGAGCAGTGCGGGCCTTGCCCAAGGTTAGGGTCTGGATTCCTGGCCTGGCTGGGGTAATTCTAGAGGTCAAACTCTCAACCCCTGTGACCATCTGAAAGGCATAGCTGAGGGCAAAGATTAGAGCCAGGAGGCAGAGGTCAGCAGTCAGAGGCCGGCAGCTGGGCAGGTGCTGGGGGACAAAGGTGGAGTGGGGCCTGTGGTCAGAAGTCCCAGGGTTCAGGACCAAGAGCAGCCAGCATCCTGAGACTGACTCAGTTCTCTGTACCCTGTACCCTGTGTGCACAAAGTGGCCGTAGGCCACGCTCGCCCTTGGTGAGCTCGTAGGCCAGGCAGGAAGGAGAGCCAGCCCCACTGGCCAGGCCTCAGGGCAGGTGGGGCAGTCTCCAGCCTTGTGGGGAAATGGACAGAGCCAGAGTCATTCTTTCTGGTGGGGACATTGGGGACTGGCTGGAGGTTGCCACGTGGGAGCTTCTCCTTCCCTAGCTGTCAGGGGCCTCTTAGAGGACAGGCCAGGGCCTGGGTGGGAGGTCAGCAGAGGTGAGGGGGTGAGTGCAGGATCCTGACTGCAGCAGGGGTGGTTCTGTCCGGGGCGACAGGACAGGGGTACGACCAGGTCCTCAGAGCCTGGCCGGGGTGCAGTAATGGGTGCAGGAGTTCTGGGCTGTGTCTGTGCATTTCTGTTTTCAGAACACTTGTCCATCTGGTTCTTGGTGGTTCCCACTCACCCCTGGAGGTCTGAGCAGGCAGGAAGAACTGGCCCTATTTCTAGTCCACGGCAGGCACAGGGGTGGGCTGTCTCCTCAGGTTGCACAGGATATTGTCGGTGATTGGCGCCTTGGCTTCAGCTCCTGGGCCAGCCCCTGCAGGGAAGCACAGACTTGTAGGACCAGAGGATGCTAAGGCCAGATGCATTCATTCATTCACTTAGGCACTCACTGACTCATTCGTGCATTCACTCAGGCACTCAGCCACACGCTGACTCATTCATTCATTCACTCGGTTGCTCAGTCACTCATTCATTCACACAGGCACTCAGCTACTCACTGACTCATTCATTCATTCATTCATTCACTCAGCCTCTCGGCTACTCACTCACTCACTCACTCATTCATTCACTAAACGTCTGTGGAGGACTTCCGTGCCTGACACTGCACGGAGCTGGGACAGCAGACCTGCCCTCGTGGAGCTGGTAATCTGGTGGGGGTGGGCACTAATCAGAGCATCTCATGACAGTCCAGCCTGGGATGAGTTGTTCTAAGAACATGTGGGGGTCGGAGGAGGTCTAGCCAGCCTGCAGGGTTGGGGACAGCTTTCTGAGGAAGAGGCATTTTCAACGAGCCGGTGAGAAGAATGCATTGCCAACAGAGGGAACGGCATGGGCAGAAACCCCGAGGAAGGAGGGGACAGCTGGCCCCTTCCCGGAGGGGGGAGGTAACTTGCCTGAGACAACTCAGGACATTAAGGTTTCCTTTCCTTGTCCCTGAATAAATGGAAAGCCACCAGGGTGAGACAGGGGCTTGTGGGTGGGAGGTAGGCACCCACAGGCCTGTGCAGGTGGGCTGTGGGCCGGAGGCCCAGACTAATCGCCAGGGTGGTCTGACACCGTGGGGGCCTCAGTCTCTTTTGGCCCCTTCTGAGAGAAGGAAGGGCGCCCTCAGGGACTTGGAAAGACCCGTAGGTCCCTGCGGCTGTCCAAGCAGAGGGAACAGCGGGAACAGAGGCCTCGGGAGCGTTCGGAAGCAGTGCTGGCCAGGGCCGGCCATTCGGAGGCTTGGAGCCCCAGGGTGGGAGCGTGTGCCGGGAAGGGAAGCCTCGAAGGGCTAAGGGGGGCAGCTGGATCCGGCATTGTGTTCTACTGTGTCCGCCTTGGCTGCTGCTGTGTGGGGAGGGGGGCGTTATCATGGGCTGGGTCCCCAGCCTGCAAACCAGCTGTCCTGGTGGGGAGGGGTGGAGGCGGCCAGGCCCCCTGACAAGCTCCCTCCCTCCTGGCAGGTGGGCAGGGTGGCCCTGCACTGGGCCGCGGGCGCGGGGCACGAGCCGGCTGTGCGGCTGCTCCTGGAACACGGGGCTGCCGTGGATGACGAGGACGCGGTATGGGCCCTCCTAGGGGCGCGTCTGCATGAGCATGTCTGTCTGTCTGCCTGCCTCAGGGTGGGGAAGGGTGTCTCTCTGGGTCTCTGAGACAGCTGTTGCTGAGGTCATGCTGATATGCTTAGGTGCAGGGTGGGCGAGGAGTCAGTCTTTAGGGGCCAGTGACGCTGCTCTGATTCTGTTTTTCCCTTGCACGGAAATCATCATCTTGGGCTAGCCACGTGGTGTGGTGGTTAAGGGGGCTGGGTCCCACATGGTCAAGTGTGTGGTTTGAGTCCCAGACACGGCAGCTTGGAAAACACACCAGGCGTGTGTGTGCCCGAATTCCTGAGAGGAGAATGGAAAAGAAGGGATTGTGGCAGGGGCCTCCCCACTGGGAGATGACTTCTCACTTTTTCTCTCTTTCTCTGGTGACGCATGTGCCCTACAGTGACAACAGAAACAAACACAAGAAATAAATATCTCTCCACTGTAAAGAGTTTTCTGCTCTTAGCAAGCCTGTGTGGTCCCTCATGGTAGTGGGTGAACCAGAGAGCTACGAGCTGTAGAACCGATCACTGGGTGCATCGAGGAGGGGCAGATGAGCAAAGTCACCGGGACGCAGGTCTCTAACACGTGCCACAGGGCTCTGCCCGGCTGACACACCAGTGACTGAAACATAGACCAACTGTTTTTAGCCAACTGGCAGGTGGCGCTATGCCTAGAGGCCCTGGGAAAACGGTTGATTCTGATGTTTGATAGGATTACATTTGGGGTCAGCAGGTGGAGTGAGTTAATACACTGGACTCCCACATGGTTAACCACGGTTCGAGTCCTGGACCTGGTGGCTTGAAAATCACGCCAGGCACATGTGCATGTGTGCCTAAGATCCCCAGAGCAAGAATGCAGGAGAAGTGACCGTGGTGTGGCCATCCCCTCAGGGGTGGGGTGATTTCTCACGTTCCCTCTCATTGTCTCTCTCTGTCTCTCTCTGGCAAGTGCATGTGCCCTATGCCAAAAAACAATCTTTTTTTTTTTTGAGAGATTTTTACTATAGGGCACATGCACTCGCCAGAAAGACAGAGAGAGACAGAGAGGCAGAAAGTGAGAAATCACCCCCCAGGGGGGATGGCCATGCCGCAATCCCGTCTCCTCCATTTTCCTCTTGGGATCTTGGGCACGCACACACATGCGTGACCGGCGTGAATTTAAGCCACCGGATCTGGGACTTGAACTGCAGTCAACCACATGGGAGTCTAATGACCAAGACGTTACACCAACTGCTGGTCCCTATGAATTAAAAAAAGATTACATTTAAGTTTAAAGAAATGATAAACTTCCCTGCAGAGACTTGCTTGCCCATGGGAACCCTTTCCTCTGCTCTGGCTTCTCTCTGCTCCAGGCCCCACCACAACGGGGGCTCACAACAACCCTGCCTCCCTACCCTCAGACCCCAGCTCCTCCCTGGACTTTTCAAGGCTTTGCTGGGAGGTGGCTCTGGAAGGAGGATGCCTAGGAGCCTTAGTTTGACTTTCCCAGTGAAATACTGGGGGCTTTTGCATCAACTCTTGCCCACTGGGACCGCCACTGTCACCACGGTGCTCCATTATTCCTCCCTTCGGAGGCTGAGTGAGAAAAGAAGCTATGAGGGAATCCTTTTATAAGTCCTCTCTTTCCTCTGCAAACAGTAATGAATGCATTTTGAAAAATGAGCCAGCCTGGTGGGCATGCCTAGCTGGGAGCCACTGGAGAGCAGAAACCCTGCCGGGAAGGCTCAGTGGTGCACCGCAGGGCCCTGTCCCTGCCAGCTCCTGCAAACCGGGAGCAGATAACTGCTCCAGGACTGGGAAGGGCCTCTCTGCTCCTTCATCATCCTCATTCCTGAGTCCCTCTTGCCCTCTCCTAGATGCTGCCTGTGCTTATTCACCCCGCATCCCGCTGCCCCGTTACCCATTTTCTACCAGGTGCCAAGCTCCAAGCCAGGGCTGGGTCTCCTGGCCCTTCGGCTCCAGCTGAGCTCTGCTCCAGGCGTTGCTTGAAGCTCCATGGAGGGTCTAGACACACGCTCCCCAGGATGTCGGGAGGAAGGGCTTAAGTCCTGTGGGCACCGCTGGCTCTCCCTCCTTGTTCTCAACTTTGCCGTCCTCTTGAAATCTTGCTAGGAGTCCTCTGTCTCCATGCTGGCATCAACACGTAGATCTCAGGCCTCCCCGGTCTCCACAGAGACCCATGCACATGAGGTTTGTGGTGTGGGACAGGCTTTCCAAATGAGCGATGGAGGACTCACATCACACATGATGTAGGATAAAAATCATAGGTCCTCTCTCGCTTGCTTGCTCTCTCTCTCTCTTTTTTTTTTTTTTTTTTTGCTAGAGGGTATGTGCAGCTGCTGGAGAGAAACGGGAAGGGGGAAACACGCCCTCATGGTCACGATCATGCCACAGTTCTTCATTTCTCCATCCTGTCAGGATTTCGAGTTCCCATGTACATGCACCTGGCACATTTTTGAAGTTGGAATTTGAATCATGATTAGCCATGTGGGATCTGGCTCCCTTAACCACTAGGCACGGGGCAGGTGCAGAGGTTTGGTTCTTTATAAAAGACTCTGGGTCTTGGGGCACTGGTGTAGTGGTTAAGGCTCTGGACTCCCACATGGCTGACTGCAGTCCGAATCTCAGAAATGGTGGCTTGAAACTCATGCCGGACACATATGCGTGCGTGCCCAAAATCTCAGGAGGAGAATGGAGGAGAAGGGATTGTATCACGGCCAAACCCCCTGGGGGGTGATTTCTCACTTTTTCTCTCTCTAGCTCTCTCTGGTGAGTACATGCGCCCTATGGCAAAACCTTAAAAAAAAAAAAAAAAAAAAAAGTCTGTGGGCCTGTTCTTTGGCCCTGGCCTCTGTTCCCTCCCTGCCTCTCTTTCTCCCTTCAAATTCTCTTTGGGAGCTCAGGGCCAACCATTTCTCTCTGGATTTCACCTTTCTCCCAACCACTTGGCTTTTACTCAGACACAGTTTTCTCCCTAAGAGGAATTCTTGTGCCGGCAGCCACTGAGACCCTTGCTTGGCCCCCCTCCCAAAGGCTCCCTGCAGAACCACACCCCAGGAGAGAACGCAGGAAACCACAGAGGGCATTTGGCTGTGGGTGGATCCTGGAGGTGAGTTTGGAGGCCTGGAAAAAGACTCGAGGTGGGGACAAGGGCCTCCCTCACATGCAGGCTCCGATGACAAGTCAGTGAAGGGGCTCTGCGGACCCTGGAGCACTTCGTAGGTGTCGAGGAAGAGCACCCACAAACAGGTGTGGGGCTGCTGTCAGAGCAGGTGCTAGGCAAAGCTGCAGTTGTTTCAGAGGACTGCGGGTGGAAACCACAGGCGTGCACGTTTCAGTGCAGCTTCTAACCATGAGCAGCGTGGCCTGTGCTGAGGCACTGGGACCTAAGCCAGCCACCTTGAAGGTATTCATGGAGATTTACAGTCTTCTTTTTAAGGTTTTTGCCCAGGGAGCATGCACTTGCTGGAGAGAGACAAAGAATAAAAAAGTGAGAAGTCACCCTCTAGGAAGATGGCCATGCCACAATCCCTTCTTCTCCATTCTCCTCCTTGGATTTTGGGCACACATACACATGTGCCTGGTATGATTTTCAAGCCACCAGGTTTGAACCATGGTTAGCCATGTGGGAATCCATCACCTTAACCACCATGCCACCTGCCGGCCCCTGCAGTTAATTCTTTTTTTTTTTTTTTGCTATAGGGTGCATATGCATGCCAGAAAGACAGAGCAACAGACAGCAAGAAATCCTCCTCC